AGATTTAAACGATGATGCCTCACACTTAGATCGTTGTCACTGGTTTCATCTTCACCCAATCACCTGTAGCATTTAGTAAAGTGAAGCCAAACTTTAGAGCGCGTTCATGTTCTTCTAGTCGGAAATTCGGAGTTCCGAGGAGAAAGCGAACGCACCATTAGCGAAACGGAAGCTAACATATCAAGCTAACGTTATCTTAAACATTTTATTTACCTACCGGAGCAGATTAAGATGAGGATGTCTCACTTAGATCGTTGTCGCTGGTTTCATCATCATCCAGTTACCCATCACATTTAGTGAAGTGGACCCAAGCTTTAGCGTGCGTTCTTTCTACCATGCTGCTCTGTTTACAACTCGCTCGCAGCGAGCGAGGACATAACGCTCTTGCGCATGCGCAGCTGTCTAGGCAAGTTCTCGTTATGAAGGACGGGTACCAAAACGAGGCACCGTTTCAAATGGCGTGAATCGGTGCTCGGTCAATACCTTAAAAAGTACCGAATTCGGTACCCATCCCTAGAGTTCTCCGCTCAATAATATCAAAGAAGGAGAAACAGCCAGCTGCTACCACTTCAACTTTAGGACAAACTACCAGAGTACCCAATAAGAAAAACACCACTTGAAGTTGTTTGGATCTAGAAGACAGCGACTGGTGTTTAGCCCCATCTCGTTTTGCAGATTTGGTAAAGCAGCTTTAAATATAACTTCTTAAATAGCGTGTCAGAAAGGTGAAATGGCAAATTGGGACCTCTCACATCTTTCTGTGACTTCTTTCATGTTTTAGTTATCGATTAGCTTAATTTTCTGATTTACAGTTTGATTCTTAAAACACAGAAAATTATCTAAGTAACAAATATGTTGTTCATGAAGCTTCAACTGAAACGGGCTTAAATACTTTCTTTACTTTCCATAAAAACAGAAAGGTTGAAACACCATTAATCTGTTCCCTATACTTAATTCTCTGTCTTAATTTGAAAGCCTGTCTATTTGGCACCTATCTTTTAAAATGTGTTGTAAAATCTAATTGTAATTTTAGGAGCACTAATTAAGCAAAGATGCTCCTTAAAGGTTTAATTTCCTCATGAAAGGTGAACCACGGGTCTGGTTTCTTTACTCAACTGAAACGCGGAGTATCCGATACGCCGAGGTGGGAACAGATGTTACTAAGAAGTCTTTTTAAAGGCCCGTTGTGAATTTTTCTCATGTTTTAGGTGTTTTTGATCATCTGCACCAGAGGCCTAAGCTATTTATAAGTATGTGACACAGCAGCACAACCTCCCCCACTCCTTCACAGGCACACACACACACACAATCACTCGGTGTGGTCTGAGGTTTGGTTACTAACTGATCGAGTAAAAAACATTCATCACTGAAATTCACTACCGCCTTCAGACTGAGTACTGAACTCTCAGTGTGTTGCTAAAACACTGAATCCTTTCAGCTCATTTACACCTTCCTCTCCCCGTAGTTCAAAAGCAGGAGGCTGGAAAACTGTGTAGTTTGATTTGTTTTTTTTCTGTGTGACGAACGGGGATTTAAATCACTGTGTGGTTTCGCGTTTTGGCTTGTGGTATGGTTTTTCTGTGCTACTTTTTGGGGTATCATTTTGTTTCAGTTTAAAAGAAAGACCGAAGCGATGATGCATCATGGCAACAACCTTCATGTGACGTGTCAGTGCAAATGTTGATGCTGTCATTTGAACATCGTCCTAAAAACCAGGCCACGGGGTCCTGCTGAGGTCCTATAAGAGCAGAAGAGTGATTGTGGCACTAAAATGTGATGCTTAGAAAGGTTCGTGCGACGGTTGTTCCCCCATCCTTGATGGCCTGTGTTAACTGCACAGCCCCACCATCTCTTGGCCTGATAGGAAGTGGTTTTTCATCTTGAAGCAGAGACTCTTTCAAAGGTGACATGCATGGTTTATTTCGAGGTTTCTAAGACATGCCCAGAGATTTGTACAGCGTGTTTAGGCTCGTAAAACAACAGATCTGTTTGTTCTGCAATGGTGGCATCTCCCCCATCGCAAACTATCATCTAGCGTATTTTACAGGGTATCCGCGGGTCCTTAAAAAGTCTTAAATTTGCTTTTCCAAATTTAAGGCCTTGAAAATCCGTAAAAATGACAAATAATCCTTAAATCCAGCTTCCAAAGGTCTTAAATTACCAAAGACCCAATAAACAAGATTATTTTATTTCTATAGAAATTTTTGTGAATTTCTAGTTAGTGTTCAGCATTTTTTGTGTATGATGTTGGCGTAAGCGGAACCGTACACATTCAGTTGGTTGTGAAAGGGGGCTATTTTTAGATGAGCACATTAGCTGGTTAAGCTAGTGGGAGCTTGCGCCATGGGGAAGTTTAATGGTAACTGGATGGCTAATCCCACGTTCGCGACGTGGTTAGCACCGGTTCCAGGCAATAGCTGGAAATTATAGCTTAAATTTAATTTTTAAAATTGCTTAAATTTGGTCAAAGTGGCCTTAAAAAAGGTCTTAAAAAGTCTTAAATTTGGCTCCCTTAAACCTGCAGATACCCTGATTTTAGCAAGAGGTGATGAGATTATAGACAACTGAGAGTTTAGCTATAACAGTAAAATGAATCATGCATTTTTGACACAAGATGATAAACTTCACACCTTTGTCACAGATTTAGAGCAGCTCATAAGAGGAAAAAAACTCTTAAATGCACTGAATGAGTCAGTCTAATGGAGTTTAGCAGCATTCTTGTCTCTACGTTGAGCTGCGGATGTTGTCCACCCCAGCTGTGCATGCCATGTCTTAACTCATTTAATAGAGGCTCTATATTTAAAACTGAGACCACGCGGCGCTGCAGGAACTAAACCAGGACTAGGACGTTTGCGCGAGACGTTTGGCGGCCCGGCCACAGCCCCACACCTGGTGATGCACCCAGCTGAACAGGAGGAAGTCTTATTAACTGCCTGTATTTTTCGTTGCTGTGTTTTTGAGCAGCAAAACCTCAAAAACAACTGATGCTTGGAATAATCTCACTGTTTAGACCTTATTTTACCAAAAAAAGAAGCCTTTAGGGACTTGCATTCTCAAACCTCAACACAGGAATCAGAAATCCTATCAGTAGTTAGGGGTGTTGGCCACTTAATGAAAATGGTGTCACCTTTTAAACTTTTAACACCCTCCACCCCCCCGTGCTGCGCTGTGCACACATCTCGTCTTGTTTACCTCGGTGATGAACCGCTGCACAATCTCTCAAGCTAAAAGCGAGTTTTGAAGCAGAGTGTGTGCTTGTCTCCCGTGTGTGCAGATGTTTTCACTGAGGATGGTAAACATGACATGGGCTGTTAAACTGTTGGAGCAACAATTGGCCTCATCCCCAAGGCCCCGGGGCCCCTGGAGGAAATCAAGCACAAGTGATGCTGTTCTGTGGTTCCCCGAACATCTGTCGGTTACCCGCCACTGAAGCCTGATGTGCTGTTTGTAACGAGAAGCGATCTCATGTCCGTGTAGTCAGTCGCCAACACAATCAGACCAGCTGTGAGCATTTACATGAACTAAAACATGGGGCTGTTTATTTTGTTTGTACAGGGGGGGTTAATTGACGCCATGGCACTTTCTTACTGTCATCAGTTTGTCTCTGAATTAAAAAGATTGTTATATAATCTCATAGCGTTGTGTTCTCAGCCACTTTAAACACCCAGTGCTACGCTACCCGTCTGAAAAACTGCACAAAATGATTCAAATCTGTTTAGGAGGTCATTGGCCTCAACACTCTGCTATTCTCATTTTAAGGCTGTTTTGGTCGTATTATTCAAGAGGAGCTTTTTAAAGTAAACTGTGATAAAAATGTGATTGTAATTTTAAAGGTGTGGAACACTGAAAATACATTATTTAATGAATATTTCTGATTGTAATCGGCTACATTTTCATGCAGGCTGCACATGAAAATTGCCTCCTACACCTTTCTCCTGCATTAGCTTCTGAAACTCTTAAGATTTGAAAACCCTTACAGATCTGCGTCCTACTGTAACTAAACATTCATGAACTCGTCCAGTTCGACTCCCGACGAGGAAGGCTGTTGTTTTAGCGTCCAGGGATCGGCAGACAATGTCTCAGCCGGTAAAAGTTAACTGCTAGCATTAGCAACTCCACCACACAGCAAAAGCTCCTCCAGGCTTGTGTTCTTTGTGGAGATAAAACATCAACATTGCTGTTATCCAATCAGAGGCGAAATGTCTAAATATCAGGAAATAAGAGTCCAAAACCTGCCGTCTGAAGCTCAGCTGTGATATGGCTCACTTCTAGTACCTAGAAAGGGTGCACCGGTGTTTTTGCCCCCTGAGCATGACACAAGCTTGGTTTATGCTTGACGCATTCACTTTCCGCTTGGTGATGCGGCTCGCTGATGGAACGCGCTTCACAACTCGCAGCGTTTATGGTTCATGCGGCTCGTCTCTGCGGTGAGCCAAAATTCTCCCAAACTGTAGGGGGCAGCATGGAGCTCTACGGCATGCATCCAACACTACACCATAGTAGAAGTAAAAATTACTGTTTACAACATGGCATTTCAGCGTTTTTAACAGCGTCCTCGTCTTTTCCGACAGTGCGAGCTATTTCTCTCCAAGAATTATTAACAACATGTTGATCACGGCGATCTCTGAGAGCTGAATCATACAAATGTCTGTATTTACGAACCTCTGCCATACTAGTTCTTGCCGGTCCGCCATGTTTTTCTGCGTCTGACCGTCCGCGTGGTTAGAAATTTTTCCTAGGTGCGCGTTGCGGAAATTTTGGGCCGTGCGGAGACGCGGTGGAGGGGCGTGGTTGTTAATATGACGCAATTTCGCCGCGCGGACCTCGCGGACGCGTCAAGCATAAACCAACCTTTGGAAAACATTCATTCCTACTGCAGACCACTGCTATTAATGTACTGATTAAATGAGTGTTTCAGACCTTTAATGTTATTGAAGAGTGCTGAGATGGTTGATTGGTCCGTGTTTCAGCTGTGTGTTTCATGAATCGTCTCCTAACAGAAAGAAGAAGGAAAGGTCCAGGGCCAGCTGAACCACACAGACTCCAGTCAGTACATCCGTGACCTCAAAGACCAGATAGCAGAGCTGAAACAGGAGGTGAGACGGACTAACGCAAGCTTCAGCTGACGTTTCATCTGGATTTTAATTCAACTTAGGCAAAACTGCCATTTCTCTCATTCAGATGAATGCATGTGTGTGATTCCCAGCAGCAGGACCACTAATCACGCTGCCTTGTTTACAACTTTTCATAATAGGGTAGAGATCCGGTTTGCTGACGCCGTCTCTTTGAAGCTTGCGTTCCTCATTTCCTCAGATTCGACTTTGAGCCATATAGATCTTGTAGAAGTGTTAACTACACCCAGAGACTTCCTGTGCAGATCTGACAGAAACACAATCAACATTTTCTCAGTATGGAGCTGATTTCACCTGCATCTGAAAGGTGAATCACTCCTCGTTAGTTGCCACAGGCCAGATGTTTGTCGCGATTCTCCGTTCAGCCCTGTCGGTGCATTTAGAGTCATTTCCCTTCTTCACCTTTACCTTATATTTGTAGAGAGTCATGAGGGGCCTGATAGGAAACAAACCTGAAACCACAGCGACTCAACGACAAGTCCTACCACCTTTCCCCTCACACACATGTATTTATAATCTGCATCATGTTTATGAGAACGCCGACTGGTCAGCCATACTACAGTCACATTTGCAGTAAAACTGGGTGGTTTGTGTTTTTACTGTGTGATAAAAAGCCTCTGAATGCGTTTCTTCCTACATGTCTGTCTGTTGCGTGGCAGGCTGGCCCAGGTGAGTTGTTTCAGACGTGTCATGTGACCTCCAACGTTTCTAACATGTTGCCTCCCACCTCATTGGACCTGTTTGAACTGTTAAACTATTTTTACTGGAGACATTTCTGCGTTCTTGTTGTAGCCCAGAGAAGTGGCTGAGCCATGTTAAACTGAAGAGGTTAAATAGATGTAAACAAATCAGACGCTGCTTTATGATTTCTGAAAGCTGTTACCTCGTATTTGGTGCAGCAGGTAGCATAAAGCAAAGTTATTTGTAATTCAGCAAGCTATGTTTGTGTTGTGTTTTTAATCAAATTATATTAATAACCAAAGAACAGTGATTTGTTAGCCCAGACATCTAGATAGAGACAGTAGCCAAAGCAAAAATTATGTTTGCTCTGCATGCTCGTCTTACAATTAGGGATGAGTACCGAATTCGGTACTTTTTAAGGTACCGACCGAATTCCACAGTACCGACCGAGCACCAATTCACGTCATTTCAAACGGTGCCTCATTTCGGTACCCGTCCATCATAACGAGAACTTGCCAAGACAGCTGTGCATGCGCAAGAGCGTTATGTCATCGCTCGCTGCGAACCAGTTGTAAACAGAGCAGCATGGTAGAAAAAACGCACGCTAACGCTTGGGTCCACTTCACTAAATGTGATGGGTAACTGGGTGATGATGAAACCAGCGACAACGATCTAAGACATCCTCATCTTAATCTGCTCCGGTAGGTAAATATAATTAGCTTGATATGTTAGCTTCCGTTTCGCTAATGGTGCGTTCGCTTTCTCCTCGGAACTCCGATTTCCCGACTAGAAGAACATGAACGCGCTCTAAAGTTTGGCTTCACTTTACTAAATGCGACGGATGATTGGGTGAAGACGAAACCAGTGACAACGATCTAAGTGTGAGGCATCATCGTTTTAATCTGCTCCAGCAGCTAAATAAACTGTTTAAGATAACGTTAGCTTGATAAATTAGCTTCCATTGCTACCATTGTTATCAGCTAATGGTGCGTTCGCTTTCTCCTTGGAAATTCTAACTTCCCAGTAGGAAAAATCAAATGAACAAGGACGGCAAAAGGAATGAAGATACACAGTAAATTTAGTTCACAGTAAAGATGTTTGCTTCAGTTTAATTATCAGCTTATAAAACTACAAGGACGATGTTAAAATACAAACAGTTGTATGTTATTTATCGTGATATTTACCAAATATGGTTATATATATTGAGAAAAATATATATTTAATTATAAAAGAGAATTAAAATAATAAACACTCAAAAGTATCGAAAATTGGTACAGTTATTGATTCCTAGGTACCGGGAATTAGTACCGAATCGATTCAAATGTCAAAGGTACCCATCCCTACAATGCTCCATAGGATTCTCAGCAACCCAGACCAGTTTTGTGTCTTGCCAATCACAGCTCTCTGTTGGTTTGGTGGGCCAGTCACAGCTCTCTGTCGGATGTTACTGCGACTGAGCGAAACTAAGATGGTGATGGCTCATTTGAAATGGTCTATATTTAGACTTGGGCTTTTCTTTGTGTCAAAAGCAAGAGACAGCCATAGATTCAGCCCCGCGACTGAGATCAGTTTATGGGTTGTGACTGTGCGAACATACTTGTACTTTCATACCAAACTGTATCTGAGGCCACATGTCTTAAGACACTCGGGTGAAGGGAGGGGCGGAGCTGTCAACTGACCACTACCTGGTGATGGCTGGCTCTGATATTGGGGGAAGAGGACGCTGGTGAGACTTGGCAGACCAAAACATAATGTGAGGTTCTGTTGATATTGTCTGGTGGAGTCTCCTGTCAGAAAGAGCTTCAACTCCCACCTCCAACATAATTTTGAATGCATCCGAGGAGAGGCAGGGGACATTGGGCCTGAGTGGGCCACGTTCCTTGCCTCCATTGCCGAGGCGGCTGACAGGAGCTGTGTTGCTGCCTAGTCGGTGCCTGTGATGGCGGCAACCCTCGAGCTCCACTGGTGGACACCAGGGGTGAGGGGTGATGTCAAGTTTTGGGCCTGTGGGACTCCAGACGAAGCTGACAGGAACCGGCCGTGCAAGCGCAATGCGGCTCATGTGATCACTAAGGCAAAAAACTCGGGGCATTATTTATTCATCGTTAAAAACAATTTCATTCATTCAAGTATGAATGAATGAAATTGTTCTCCTGTTAACATCAGTAGATGGTATTGTTTAATGTTAATGTTGCAGTGTCTTGTTGCAATTAACTATATATATATATATATATATATATATATATATATATATATATATATATTAGGGATGTAAGAAAATATCAATATGGCAGTATATCGTGATATTTTTTCCTGCGATTATTACATCGATATTCAAAAGCTGTATATCTAATTCTTGAAAGAATTTACATGCAAACATTTGTGTATTTTCTTTTCGTTTTGTGCAATTCAATCGTCACCCGCTAGTTGGCAGCAGTGTGCAACGGGTTTTGTTTCCACCATTGAAATGTAAATCCCTCCATCATGGTTCAGGTACCTCATGTTAACCACGTTACGTATCAGTCTGGAGTGTTTATTGAACATTCTTACAATAAATTCAGTAAAAAATAAATTGCTTGTATCGTCTGACTGAATGTATCGCAATATATCGTGATATGTATCGTATCGCCAGAATTTCAAAAATACACATCCCTGATAGATATTGTAAAAGAAATCCTATTTCAGCCCCTGAATCATTGTCAGTAGTTCCATCACTCATAAATAAACATTTTCCATGTCAGCCATTAACATGTATGTATTATTGTATTGCCCAACACTGAAACAGAGCACACAGCACTAATCATTCCCTCTCTTACAGATTTACTGCTTGAAGGGCCAGAGGGGTTTGACCAGTCAGCCCACTTTTGATGGGATCCATATTGTCAACCACTATATGGGGGTCGATGAGTCCTACCAGTCCTCAGATGATGATGATGATGATGATGGAGTAAAGGAGCCTGACCTCCAGGAGGCCCAGCAGCAGAGCAGCACACGCATCAAGCTGCACCCCAAGCTGGAAGACGCAGACAGTGAGGATGAGGACGGGGACGCCCTGCGGCTCTCCGTGCCTCCGAGCACCAACCACAAGTCCACCACCGTGTGACCACTGGCACGAGACGAGACTTTAAACCGAAGGAGAGAAGAGGTTCAGCAGCCATTTCACAGGAGGGACCTGGATCTGCAGTTCTGAATTTCAAAACGACGACACATCTTCATTTCATATTGTTACTCGTGGTTGCAGCTCGCTCGCAGGTTGTTTTGTGTGTGTGAGAGATCTCTCTGAACGTCAGCATACGAACAGCATGGAATGCATCAAACGCTAAGAAGTTGGGGAGCAGGTGGGGACACAACCTGTAGGCACGACGCAGACGCCGCCGCCGTGTGGAATAAAACATTTAATGCTAAATTACACACTTCAATATGTTTTTACACTTTTAAAAGCTTTTTATGAATGAATATCAAGGTTACTGGTGTTACTCTCAGCACTCCCGTCATACAGAGACCGTGTGTGTGTGTGTGTGTGTGTGTGTGTGTGTGTTTTAAAGCACGTTGTCCTGATCAGAGCGTGGTATCAAAGCAAAACCTTGATGTCTGGACCTTAGCACACGCTGCTGGTTGCACACGTGTAGATATGTAAATGAGTTTATTTCTTCCTCTCATTCTTTTGAACTTGAACAATATTTGCATATTTTATTTTTAATTTTGTTTTATAAATGAGAAAAAGGGACATAAGTTATAGATGGAAACAAACTGGTCTGCTGAGAAGATGAACTGAAAGTCCAGGTCAGGCTTTTGTTTATTTCTCCAAAAGCTTTTTTTTTTACCTTAGTGATGAGAAGAGAAGTCCTAGCACACGCTTCATTTTCTGATGAGTCAGACATGTCTGTTTACGTCTGACGCAACTTGCACACAAGTGGGTAAAACCAACAACGAGGACACTATCTGGACGTGGGACAGGAGCTGAACTGTGTCCACTGGACATGGATTCCTGAACTTTGGACGGTCACTATGAACACTTAAGTTTAGTGGAAGTCATTGAAGCCATTATGATTCTGTCTTTTAAATCAAGTCATGAGAATGTTCCTCTGAGGAGGGGGAACGATTACAGCACTTTGAGTCTGCAATGCAGCGAGGACTGATGGGCAACACTATGGAGACTGAGATGTGTGTGTGTGTGTGTGTGTGTGTGTGCGTGCGTGAAAGAGGGAGTGAGAGAGATTTCACAATAAAATGTTTGATAAACTTTAAATGTGGCGTCTTTCTGGTAGCAGCAGATGAAAGGCTTGAGGCAGGATCATGTCTCTGAAAGCCGCCTTCCTACGAAGGCTCTTAGAAGGGTGACTGCTTTCAGGAAGTGATTTCTCGCAGTTTTCAGAGCTGAGCCTCATATTTATTTATTTTTTTCGTGCCCAAAACCACATTTTAAAAGCAGCTTTCTCTCATCGAGCACCAGAATATTAACCAAGTGTGAATAAATCCTTTAAAAGGTGTGTTTTCATCAGAAATAAAGGTCAGGTTGCACATGGGAGGAGGTTTCAAATTTCCGTGTCTGAAAGTAGAAAAAAGATTGAAAGGAGTGAGAGTTCATAGCGCAGGAGCAGGCGTGTCGTGTGAATCAGATCTTAAAGAGCAAGTCTCCCCCAAATCAACTTTTTGCTGATAAACTATGTGAATGAGTGTCTAATCATGCTGTAGGCATGCATAAGTCAGTAATTTGGCACTTTAGTGCATTTTAGTTAAAATTTAAATATTCTGTGTAAAACTGTCAGCGTTGCGCCCTCTTCAGGTAAAAACTGTACTACATTTTAATTTAAATCTGCCATCGCTATTGGCTAAGAGGTACACTATGACATTAGCTGGTACATTATGCTGTGAGCCTACTGTGTGCATTTATTAGGGGCTCCGCCCTCTGTCTGCCAGGCAACGCCTCCTTGTGGGGCATTTTTCAAACAGAAAATGGGAGTGGAGTAAGACTGGTAGGGGGGTGACTTTGCTCTTTAAATGATGTTTCTGTGGGCTAACTTAATTTAAAAAATTTAGCTGCTTTATACAAAAATATTGTGGAATTATTATTTTTTTCATTCTGTGTTTATTAATCTTCTGACTTTGGCTCGTGGCTTCACCCACAGCAGCTCTTGTTGAACCGGGACACACCACCCCATAATTTTTCTCTATTAAATCCTTTATTTCTACTCCTTTTTTTAATTTTAATTTTATTTTTTTATTTTTTTGTGCTTGCAGGCGCAACTGCATAGCATTCAGTTTAAAACTGCATTATCGGTCTGAAATATTTTGCTATCAATGACCCAAAATCAAAAAATTCTGAAAAGAAATAAACACAGAAAGATCTGACAGCTGCATGTACTTGCTGCCTGTCGAAGATAAGCACTTTCTTGGCGTCACAATCTTGACCTGGTCAGAGGACACCACACATAAGTAGAGCAGATGTTTTCATTTTTACAGAAAATGAAAAACTAACAAATGTCCTATTTATCATGAATATTTATTTCAGGGGCGTGTCCAGGGAGTGGCCTGGGGTAGCACATGGCACCCTTAGAAGCTGATTGGCCACCCCCAGGTGCCACCCTACTAAGTTCCAGTTTAAATTGAATTTACATTGTCGACAAAAGGCTTGAGTTGTAAACTCCAAAAATGGTGTGTGGTAGCATGCACCTTTAACTTTGTCTTCTAGCCCAGGCCTACAGAACATTTCTGTGGTATTAATATTATTTATTATTTTTTCATATTCACATAAATAGTATTTAGTCCCACTCAACTCCAGTCGGTGGCAATAATGCAACAAGAAGTGACTTGCTAACCACCACAAAACTAGGAGATGAATAGAAAAAAATGGTGATTGTGCAATGTGAAACTCCAAAATTCACTAGAAAGTAAATAAATAAACGATTTGTGTAAGTAAATAAATAAGCATAACCATTGGTGCCACCCATGCATAAGCAAGTGCCCCACATGGGCCACCCCATTTTAAAAGTCCTGGACACGGCTCTGCATTTATTTACAGAACAATGGCCCAACTGCAGTTCAGCAGAGCAAGTCAACCCCTACCAGAGTCTAACTCCACTCCCACTTCATGTTTGAAAAATGCAATAAATGCTCTTGCCTAGCAGACCGAGAGGGCGGAGCTGCTAACAAATGCACACACACACACAGGCTCACCACAGCATTGTGACATCATAATGTACCAGTTTACATCATAGCATACCTCTTAGCCAGTAGCGGTGGCAGATTTAAATTAGAATACAGTGCAGAGTTTTTACCTGACAACGGCACAACACTGCCAGTTTTAGGCAGAATATTTAAATTTTAACTAAGATGCACTGAACTGCCAAATTATTGACGACACGTGTCTGTAGCACGATTAGACACACATTTATTTAGTTTATCAGCAAAAAAAGTTTATTTGGGGGTGACTTGCTCTTTAAATGTATTTATTGCATTCTTGAAATGTTTAAAAACACAAAGTTACTGAAAGGATAAAAAGACAAACGTTGATTAGATGTAACAGAGATGTTAACATATGCAGTAGTTTGCTGTCTAAAGCATGATGCTGCAGTAGCAAAGAGAAAACTGGTCAAACAAAACCAACAGAGAGCATTTTAGAGGACAAGTCTGGTTTTGACAGGGAACGCATCTCAACACACCTGCCAAGCGCCTGGTGGTAAACTAGTGTTTCCTTTGTGTTTGAGCTCAAATCAGCATGATAAGCTGAGCTCGTGCCGCTGAATCAACAGCATGTGTGATGATGAGATCCCCCCTCCCTTTTATTTCACCACCGTGGGTGGGTGACACCCCGGGGTGCGCCTCCCTGTTTCCTCCCCCATCCTCCCTCCTCGGAGACTGAGAAGACGCAGATAAAGCCGGTATCACTTCTCTGGAGACACGAACCCGCTGCTGCCTGGTCTGAGAGGGAGAAAAGAGGAGATGACAGGAAACGGGGAGAGTCCCGCAGAGAAGTTTTAAATCAAGACTTCAGTCTCAGATTCTCAGAGGCGAAGCAGGACAAGGGTCCGGGGACAGACGCCTCCCCCGCTGCAGAAAGTTTACCTTTGACCGGCTCCTTTCAGACACCACAGGCGGATGTTCCCCGCAGACAGCAGGCACCTGTCCGACAGACACCTGGCAGACGGGACGGCCAAAGCGCGCATGCTCCGTTGTCATGTGGGACTCTATTAAAGCGCAGTGATCTGGTCAGAGGGTACCACACCTCCAGCAGCAGCAGCACCGCGTCAGGGACGGCCCAGGACAGGCCTTCCCTCCTGTCTGCAGCTGGACCCGCACCTCTCCTCCGAAGATGCCGCGTTCCTTCCTGGTGAAGAGCAAGAAGGCGCACAGCTACCACCAGCCGCGGACTTTAGAGGATGACTACAGCCCGCTCGACTCGATTCTGGAGCGCACGTGCTCAGGTGAGACCAGACAGCGGACTTACCTTTTATGTGAAGCGTCATTTAGAAACGTGGAGGATGCGTTTTATTTGCGTCTTTGTTTGCTCGCTGATAATATTTATCAAAAAGGCATTATTACATTTTAAATAGCACACTCTGGGACATTATCCTCAGTAAAGAAAACACTTGTCAATAATAACATTTGAATTAACGTAAGTCAGTTAGTGAAACTAAAAGCCAAAACAAAAATAAACGTGGACTGAATAAAAACACGAGGTTTTAATGATATTGTATTTGTTGTTTTACCTTTTTACAGAATAAACAAAACTAGTTTTGTATCATATTAATGATCACCGACAATAAATAATAGCCTAGTTTTTAGGTTACACGTTACTTTTATAGAACGATTTTCTATTTCTAATCATTTATTGGCCTGATGACAAACATTTCATTTGCTGATTATAACGTCTCTGCTCTCAGAGACGGACAGACTCACGGAAGAGGACACCGACCCGACTAGGGACAGGTACGGCCTCTCCCCGGCCTCCCACCTGGGGGACGAGCCTGACTTCCCCCCCAGCTCTCCTCAGAGCTGCACCGACAGTCTGTGCGCTCAGTCCCCGGACTATGAGGACTACTGGAGACCTCCATCACCCTCAGTATCACCGGGTATACACACACACACACACACACACACACACACACACACACACACACACACACACACACACACACACACACACACACACACACACACACACACACACACACTTTTTAAGAGTTAAGTCGATAAGATCAGAACTTTTCAGGATGTCAAGCTTTTTTTTTTTTGCTTACAAATAGATCGTAACCAAATAATTAAAAATTACATGAGACCCTTGATTTTTTTAAAGGTTGTTGTAAAATAAAGATTTTTCTAGACTGATATTTCATATAGATGCTGTCTTGGGTGGGTGTGTTCACATGGTGCAGTGGTTCTCACGAGGCTCTCTTCTTTCCTTATTGTTGAATTCTCTGAGAGAACATTACATCCTCCTTAGCTCTCTGAGGTCCTGCAGGGTTCTGAAAACGCTCATATTTAACTGTCACTGCATTCATTAAAGTTTCATGTCCTCCTCCAGTTGACTCAGAGAAATCCCTGTCTCCTCTGGTGGACGAGACCCAGCCCTTCATGGTTCCCTTTCGGCCTTACGCCTGGAGCAGCTATCCGGGGCCAGGCCTGAGGCCCCTGGACCAGGACCTCCTTCCCACCATGGATGTGGACAGAGTCTCAACAACGATGGCCCTCTACAGTGACAGGGGCGCTCCTCCAGCTATGCTTGCAGAGCGTGCCCTGGTGGAGGAGCCCTATGTGGACTACAGGAGACACGCTGCCGCCCTGCTGTTCTCGGAGACAGGCCGTGACGTGAAGGCCCAGCCGGAGCTGCTCTGCCCCACACTCATGCTCAACGGGGCGTTCAAGTGTATCAAGTGTGGCAAGGTGAGATAATGCTATTTAGTGTTGATATAAAGAAGAAAAAAAGACTGAAATTAGAATTATTTGAAGTGGCTTAATCATTTATCCTATGAGGAAACAAGCTGCTGATGATCTCACAACAAAAGATCAACACGCTGAAAAGAATCGGATGGATTTTTGGTCGTTTTAGTGAATGTTATGGGACACGGACTGTTAAACAAGAAATACAGAGATGATCAATTCTGTCCTGACAACAATAAAAATGTGGTGTGATTTTCTAAAAATCACTTTTGGGCCACATTTATTTAGGCGATTCCAATTTATGTATAAATGTAATAACACGTTTAAAATAAAGTCCGATTTTATGAGGTTATTTAAAAAGTGTTAAAAGTAAATATGAAGATGGCTGTTTTGAAACAAACTTCTAAAATGTCAATCCAGACTGCTGTAAAACGGAAGTACCCTACCAAAATAAAAGTGGGGCGAGGAGAGTCATTTGGATATGAACAGAGTCTGCTTCTACCATTCATGTCCCTGTCTAAGTTCTAACAGCACATTGACCACCATTAAATCAATTCTATCTGATCAGAAACCTTAAATAACTGATCCAGCTTTTATTTTGGTAGGGTAGTGACATTTACATGTTAATTCATTATTTTTCTGAACACGGTATTTATATTTTAAATTGTTGAACAGTTAAAGAGCACACAACACAACACAACACAAGACAAGCCAGGACAAAAACAAAACCACCACCCTCGCCCACACAGGAAAAACAAACACCAGCATTTGTTTTAAACCATGGCTTTACACATGGTTTGTATGATTTTCCAGTCTTTTAAATCATGAAATTTCAGTAATTTATATTTAATAAACAATGGGTTCGATAGATCTCTACAGCCACTATAATTGAAGATTCTCAGAGCTCCTTTCTGTAAATTAAATAAGGGTTGTGTATAGTTTTTGTATGTTGCTCCCCAGATTTCTACACAATAAGTCAAGTATGGAACAATCAGTGAATTGTACAATGCCAACAAACCAGAATTGGTCAGTAAAAACTTGACTCTATGTAGTACTCCTAAGGATTTGGCAGTTTTACCTTTTATACATTTGGAACCGTTGCTTTCAGACTAAAACTTTGTATTCAAATTTTATTAATTGTCGTGTTTTGCGTAAAGCAGCTTTAGTGGGTGTCTTGTTTTTTTACGGTTAGTTATGAATGACTTTTCAGTGAAAGAGCTTCTTCCACGCAGTTTAATCAAGATGTTTCCTTTTTCATTTCCTCAAAAGTTCTACTTGTGAAGGTTGTTTTTGTTCGATGGAGACAATATTTAGATGTGATTCAAATTATTTAGATGAGCCTTTATAATGTAGTCTTTGGATTAAATGTTTTTTAACGTTTGGATTAATGTTTAGATGGAACATTGTAATTTCTTTGCACAAACCAACTTGAAAAATGACTAATAAATGAAAAATTACTAATCTAATTTACTAATTTAGTTAAATACCATACTTCTGAATTGTTTGAATAGATTAGGCCATTTTAAATTTTCTTCTAAATACTAATATTTAACTTTTATCCAATCAAATTTAATCTGATGTAATTTTAAATCTAAATATGTATTCATTTCTATTACTATTTCTATTACTTGGAAGCTGTGTGAGGATTTGTATCTGTTTTTATTTACAACCGGCTCCCCACTATCCAGGTGTTTTCCACCCCGCATGGTCTGGAAGTGCACGTGCGCAGGTCCCACAGCGGCACTCGACCGTTTGCGTGTGACATTTGCGGCAAAACGTTCGGACACGCAGTAAGCCTGGAGCAGCACAAAGCCGTGCACTCGCAGGTAAGCTCACGCGCTTCGAACCACATCCCCGCACTTCTCTCTGTCTGCGCAGTGGATCGTGGTCGGACCTAAAGTATTAACAAACCAGAGAATAAAACACTTTCAGGAAAGAAGCTTCGACTGCAAAATCTGCGGAAAGAGCTTCAAGCGCTCCTCCACTCTGTCCACCCACCTGCTGATCCACTCCGACACGCGGCCCTACCCGTGCCAGTTCTGCGGCAAGAGGTTCCACCAGAAGTCCGACATGAAGAAGCACACCTTCATCCACACAGGTGAGACGCAGACTCGTGAACTTGGACAGGTGAAACAAGCATGAATGATGTTGACTTAAGTCTGCGGCGTTATTTGCAGGCGAGAAGCCGCACAAGTGCCAGGTGTGCGGGAAAGCGTTCAGCCAGAGCTCCAACCTCATCACGCACAGCAGGAAGCACACGGGATACAAGCCGTTCGGCTGCGACCTGTGCGGGAAAGGCTTCCAGAGGAAAGTGGACCTCAGGAGACACAAAGAGACGCAGCACGGACTGAAATGAGAGCAAAGCTGCAATCACTGCTCAGAGCATTGTGACTGATTCAAGGACGAGTTCAGTTCTGCTGTTTGGAAGCGAGAGAGACGATCTGAGAAGCTCCGACTGGGTTTATTTAATGTCTTCTATTTAACGAATAAGCTGTAGTAAACAACAACAAAAACAAAACATCAGCAACACTAATGACAATCAAGGTCCAGAAAGCCGGGCGTAGCTGCGGACTGTAAAACAATCTGGGGATTTTTTATTTTTATTGATGAAGCGAATTTAAAAGCAGATAAAAATCTGCGCTTCTCCACGGAGGCGGGTTGTTTTCAGCCGCAGCGCTGCGGGCAAAACAAGCTGCGCTGATGCGTCAGGCTGTTCGGCTCAGGATGACGGAAAACACACTTTCCTCCTTTTTAAGGGAAACAACCTGCTGTAAGACTCTTGGGTTTAAAAACGGTGAGGTCTCATTTTTACAACAGCTACTAGGGTAAAGACGGAATCCTCAGCAAAAAAAAAAACATTATTATTATTATTATTATTATTATATTATTACTATTATTATTATTATTATATTATTATTATTATTACTATTATTATTGTTATTATTATTATTATTATTATTATTATTATTGTTATAGTTTTAATATTTTTTATTTTAGGGAGCAAACTGATGGAGTTACTCCATGAGACATTTTCAAACTGAAAATAAATAAATAAATAAACTGCCTCACCATTAAACCTAAAACCTGCTGTTCTGGAGTCAGATTGGGACGTTTCACCCTGTTGCTGCTGTGATTGTGAGACCCGGAGGCTTCTGCTTGTTTTGACCATCTTACTGTTGTGTTTGGATCTTAAACAATCACAGATCCAACCGTTAACCTGTTACTGGTTTATTTATTTGTTTTTGGTGGGGGTGTGGGGGTAGGTATAAAGATATGAGCTGGGAAAATTTGTGTGTGTGTGTGTGTGTGTGTGTGTGTGTGTGTGTGTGTGTGTGTGTGTGTGTGTGTGTGTGTGTGTGTAGCGTACATGTAAAAATAAAAATGAAGTTTTTTTTTATGTTTTCTTTATTCCTGAGCTAAATCTATCGGGGTGAATCAGATCCAGTGTTTTGAATCAGCTCTGATGATTTTCCCTGTTCTTGTATTTTCAGACATTTCAGCGTTTTAGATCAGCAAACGAAGTGATTTTAATACCAAAAATAACCAGAGGAAATAATTCTGTTAATAATGCAGTTTTCTGATGATGATGATGTTATTTATTAATAGAAAATGGCCTATGATAACTTTTTAAATTATGTTAAAATGAGATAACACAGCATGTCTATTTCCCAGTGGAGGTAATAAAGTATTATTGAATTTGAACTGAATTGTAAATAATCTATCCAAACCAACCTGACCCTGCGTGGCCCCAAACTTTACTGGTTGTAACGCAGCAGCACCTGATAACTAATGAGTCTGGTGCAGGATGCCTGTCCTCGTCTCAGAATTGTTTTACTTCAGCCTGATTGGAGGGTTTTCTGTTAGTGTCTGTTTAAGGTCAAAGGTCAGACACACTCCTTCATGATTTACTGGTAGAGAACAGAGAATTCATGCTTCCATCAATAAGGATAGGGATCATTAGTAGTCCTAAAGGGTTCAAATGAAGGCAACAGGACTTCTTTAGTTTCTTGAAGACGTTTTGCTTCTCATCCGAGGAGCTTTGTTAAAATTCCTCCTCGGATGAGAAGCAAAACGTCTTCAACCTTTTTGGATGACCATGACCTGGATGACGGAGAACCTTCACCAGCAGATCACTAGTAGTGTTTCTTATTTTATTTTTTATAAATAAACGTGAGACGGGCCTTTGAACTCTTCCAGTGAACCATTTCCTCCGTCTCCTTCCTCTTGTTCAGTCCTGACCTCTGACATGGTAACCAGGCCAGGCCTGATGAAGATGTTCTGTTTCTGTTCCTGTTTCTTTAAAATGGGTGCACAATGTGTTGTTTGTTTAGACCTTTTGAGGCACTTCATGTGGTCATGAGGTGATTGCAGGTGTGGCCTGGTGAGGCTAGAGGAGCTGGACTCTGCCGCAGCTAATCACGGTTAATTTACAAGGAGGTCTAGACTTGTTGGTTTTGATAACTGTTTTCTCCTATTGGATGGAATCATTTTGCATTTTGAATTCTCTTTGCCTTTTACTGAGGCCCTGTCCACACGTAGCCGGGGATCTGCCAAAACGTAGATATTTTTCTACATTTTGGCCTGTCATCCACACGAAAACGGAGTTTTTTCACACGAAAACGGATCTTTTTAAAAACTCCGGCCAAAGTGAAGATCTGCGTTTTCTCCGTTTTGGGTGTCTGCGTGTGGACAGACAAAACCGGAGTTTTAAAGTCCGCAACGTCACTTCCCGCGACAAAAAAATGCTGACATCACGTGTGCGACCTGTGTTTACACTAGCCGACAGCATGGATGCCCTCAGAGCTGCGCTCGCTTTATCAATTGTCCAAGCGCTTTTTGCTTGTTTGTTTTTGCAAGCGGAATTACTGCTCCTTGCGGAAGACCACAGACGAAGGACGAGGTTAAGAACGGGGGAAGTACTGCCGCCTACAGGTCTGGCATGTCCTTAACAACGTATTTATCCGGGTACGTGTGGACAGAGTTTTGTTTTTTTAAACGAGGTGGTGTGGATGCAAGTTTTTGGAGGGGCGGATATTCGTTTAAAAAAAAACCCGACTACGTGTGGACTAGGCCTGAATTTTGCTGATCTGAAACATTCAGTGACGACAGAGAAGCAAAAACAGCAGAGCTCTACCTTCCGCTTTCACAATCCATTCCTTCTCTCTCAACATTGATTAAAATCACTGACTGACAAGGATTTTCCTTTTCTACGCTTGACTTCCCTCACAAATCGTACAACATCCAGACCTGAAAAATACTGAATATTTTAAAGCTCTGGATGAGCAAACTGAAGGAGAACAGGAGGAGCTGGCGTGAGCCACGTCACTGCTTTTGTCCAATAAGAGAATGTCACAAATGTACGTTTGCATCTAAATATGTCTGAGCAACGCATCAGGATGGAGAAGACTGGGAGGTCTTCCTCTCGAGACGTGGCGGTGTGGTCTCTCTGCTTCAGCGCTGGCGTTGAGGCTCTGTTCTTAACTCTCCTCAAGCAGCAACCAGTTTATTATTTTTACTGCAGATCGATTCTGAAGATTCCTTCTGAAACCAGCTCGTGTGAAATCTCAGAAAAGGAGGTTTCCTAACAAAACCATTAGGCTGACCAGATTTCCTCCAAGGGCACAGGTGGACCCCACGGCCCCGAGGCATATCAAATATAAATACGCCTCCATCGATCCAGGAGTAATCAGAAGGTTGCAGTCAGGCACGCCTGCACGTTGGCCTCTAAGTGTTGGGAAACGTGCACGACACGCTTCAGCTGCACGCGGAGAGGTATGGATGGAGACAGATCTGTGCAATTAGAAACTTCAGGGCGAGGGTTTGGCGGTTTTGGACGATTTATTATTAATCTGGACTTGAACATGAATAATAAAAGATTGTAGAGAGACTGGGATGTAGAGTTTTGGGTCGGAATCAGCTAAAACTACAAAACATATTCAAATCAGGCAGAAACAAGAACACGTTTGATCTAAAAGACACGACGACGGCTGCTTTTATCGGCTGCTGATGAAGCAAACAGCAGGACTTTGCCCACGCAGCTGGAAAGGGTCAGTCAGGAAAACAGTTCCCTCTTTGTGACAGAAGGCAAAGAAGAAATGTGATTGTTGCCCTCGAGGGTGGAGCAGCTATGTTGTCATAACAGCACGGCGTTGACTCTGCAGCGCCGTTCAGCACCTTTCACACAGGTTTGATGAGACGCACAACGAGCTGAGCTGATAGAGGTGCAGGACTCGTGACGGCGAGCTGGAGAGAAAAAGCACAGATTAACCGTTTTTACTCCGTCTGTTTATTATTTGGAGCATCAAAGAGACTTTTTCTGTTCACCTGCAGCCCCCCCCCCCCCCCCCCCCCCCCCACACACACACACACACACACACCAGTCGGCTGACATGCCAGCTGAGCTGGGACAGAAGAGGAGAAGCCAGGGCTCATATAGGACGCGGCTCTTTTGTTGCACAGGCTTATTCATTATTCACCCGATCTGAAAAACAGACTGCAAACCAACTACACAGCTGTCATCGAGCAACAAGGCACACACACAAATTATTCATGACGCTGCAAAGAAAAGGGACCCAGGATGGGAGGAAAATAATAACAAGAGCCGCGGGGAGGCAGCTGACAGGCCGAACGCGACACGTGAGGAGAGCGGACCTCCTCCGGTCGATAGGTTTCTCTCCTGAGTCAGGACGCCTCTTTGGCTTTTTGTAACGTCTCAATTCATCTAGTCTACCTTCCTGTGGTCACTGCTTTGAGAGATGTTTTCACTGAAGCACCAACAACACACACCTCCACGTGGCTGCATGCAACAGACTAGACCCACCCAATCCTGAAGGCAGTTTTTATTGAACTCCTGATGAGATGCATTTATAACAGACGTGGATGTGATTTAAAACGTTTTTTTAGTCATTCTCCATAAAACAGTAACGACCACTGTCCCATCACATCTGACCCAGCTTCCAGATCGTTTAAGGACTATAGAAGTCTAATGAGCCATTCCCATCTGTACCGGGTCGGCCCACGCCAGGTAGCCCCAGCCTGGCCCGGTTTATTCCACACATCCTTGCCTTAAGCCCATGTGGGCTGATTCTACCCACCAATCAGAGGCTTGCTCTAATGGAAGGTGTGAATTTGCTGTCAGCAGTGGGTGTGTTGGCCCTGGTCGGCCTGAAGCAGACCCCCTCGAGAAGAGGGCTGAGAATGAGCCTTGGTTGGCCCGGAAAAATACCAGGCCACCCAGATATGTAAACAACCTACGCTACCCGGCCCGGGCCGACCCGGTACAGATGGGAATGGCCCATAATTTCCTTTCTCAAAGAGAAGGTTTCACACACGAAGCGTCCCTTGGTCCCACTTCTAAACAGCATAGGCACTGGGACATGACGTCACACCCTGCAGCTTTAAGAGGAACACCAAACCCGACGCTAAGTCGGTCAGGAACAGGGTGTTGGGATTTTTGGTATTTTGTACATCACAGACATAATTCACAAAAACCTGTGCAAACGTCCCCTGGCGGCGCCTAAACTCCGCCCCCGTTGGAGCTCTGCAGCAGTGACATCAGTTGGACTCCTCAAACCTCAACTGGTTTTTAATATTCTTTAAGTTTTTTTCCACAAACACAGTTTAGGTTTCATGGTTTTTGGAAATTTTTTTTACAATGAATGTTGAACTGACAGCTGATGATGTCACAAACTTTCAAACTGTCTAAAAGTTTAAAAACCTTCTGCAAACACTCCCACATCACCCCGCTTCTCCTCCAGCTTCACTGGCTGCCAGTCAACTTCAGGGTTCATTTCAAGATCCTGGTTCTGGTCTATAGGGCCTTACATGGACAAGCACCATCTTACATCGGTGAT